ATATTGCCATAGCTTTTTAATCCCTGTTACTGTCCTTAATTAAGGTTACAGTGAATGCCTGTTTGGGCTTTAGGTTTATCACAAGTAAGCTGATAAAGTCTCATTTACATAAGTACTGTGGATGTATAGCATGTCCCTTTGTAAATTATTCTAAAGTGGTATGTTAGACAAAAATTTTAGAAGTTTACAATTTTGTATAATTTTCTCTGGGAAGTCACTGGCTACTCAAAAGAGTTATGAGCTACATGCACATTAAATACTGGATTAAGATCAGTTTTTTTATGGTAACAGTTATTGAAGGTGTCTATTTGGTCAAATTTTTTTTTTTTTAATTTTTTGTGCTTTATACACAAAACAAATACTGACGGTTTCTATTTGGCCAATTTGTTTATATTTTATACTTTATATGCAAAGCAAAATGCTTACTTTTCCATACAAGAATAAAAACTATACTATTCTTAAGTCGGTAGTTCTTTGATTCCATTTTTTTTTTCCACTCAGTATTATGGTTTGTGTCCTTTTTGTGTGTTGAGGATTTGAAACTTTAATTTGGAGAAGAAAAATGTCCTTCTTAGGCACTACTTTCATGGTAACTATAATGAAGCTGGACATAATTGCATATTTACTCTTCCCTATAAATCAATAGCTTTGTAATATTATTAAAAGTTTTCCTTGTTCTTTAAACAGCAGCATTTTGTTAACATTAATCAGAACCTGACGTATGTTTCTTCTAAATGGCATCTGATGTGGTGTCTCTCTTCAGTTCTCTGTGGTTTCCTGTTTTTTTTCATACATAGAGAAAGGCCTTTTGAGGTATTAAGCCTCATATTTTTCTCCTTTTAATAGTTCATCAAAACTAAACTTTATTATAAATACAGCATAGTATTGTAAGCCTGTCTCACTGTTCATTTATGTGACTTCCCACAGACTCCTAGAATTCCTCTGGCCCTTACTGTGTGTCCCTCAACTAGTACTTCCTTATACATTCTCCCTTTGTATTCTTTAGCATTGCAAATCTTATTTTTGCCCGGAAAGTGTGTGTTTTTCAAGGACAGAGATGGTATCTTGTATTTCTGTAGTTTTATTTCCCTAATAGTACCTTGCCTTATCGATTAACAGATGTAGTAGATCAGTGACTCTCAAAGTGTCGTCTTCTCCCCAGTGGTATGGGCATCACCTGGGAACTTAACCTGATAGAAGCGTAAGTTCTTAGGCCCCACCCTAGTCCTACTGAATCAGAATGTCTTGATGGGGCAACAGCAATCTCTGTGTTAAAAAGCTCTTCAGATGACAACCGCTGCTACAGATAATTATTGAATGCATGTCAGCACTGTACCTTTATGGTGATGCTTCATTGTGAGGACTAGTATAGGATGGGGCAGAATTTAGTTTATACATCCTGAGTCTTTTATTTCTCAAGAGACATTGGGAGAAAAAAAAAAACCCTTAGATTTAAATATTTGCTATCTTGCAACAGGATGTATATAGCTCTTATGTTGTCCTAGTGTGAAAACTGTAGTTTATATGAATGGTTTCTTTCTTCTACCTATTTAGGAATAGGCATTTAACTTTCTGAAAGGAGGAAGGTTAACTAAGAAATGCATAATGGATGTTAACTAATTTTCATGGTGAGGAGGAACATGAGTGAATGTTGGAAACTGGTCAGATAGGGGATAGGTTAGGAGAGACTTCTTGTTTCCCTGGATAACATTCTATGCTCTTCTCAGTTTTTGGACCATTTAAATGCATTACCTATTAAAATTTTTGATGCATGATACTTAATAAAAATAAATTAATGAATAAATGTTGAGTAAATAAATACCCATGAGATAACCATTGTGGTTGGTTAAAAAAATTAAGATTTCCTTTTGTATTAATATGAAAAGTTAGATGACATGTGCTTTTCATCTCTGCAGAAAACATCAAGATAGTGGCAGAAATATCTTGATGACTTTTCACCTTAACCTTGAAATGGTGTATACACATTACTCTTTTGCTCAATGAATAAAGGATTTCTACTGTTATATGGACCTTGTAACTATTTTTAGAAAATATGCAGGGAGAATTTAATCTTGTATGAACAAATGAAGAGGTCATGACACATAGGACTTTGATCTAATACCTTCTTTCAGATGTGTTTCTGGAGATATCTTGATGACCAGGGACTGCTGGAGAGAAAAGTTGATTTAGCTTTTTGTCATGTTCTTAGCAAATGCAAAATAATTGAGTTAGCAGAACCCATTGCATGTGTTCTGAATTATGAACAATATTCTCAACTATTTGTCTTTTAATACAAATATAATTATATTAATTTTATGATTTAATTGTGCTGTTTCAATAGAAGGTATGTCTTAAATGACACATGATTCAATTACTCATTTTTTTCCCCCTTGCACAGAACTATTGTGCCATGGAAAGTATTCAGACAGTGCCTTCATGAGGTCCATCAAATTAGCTCTGGCCTGGAAGCAATGGCTCTAAAATCAACAATTGATTTAACTTGCAATGATTACATTTCAGTTTTTGAATTTGATATTTTTACCAGACTATTTCAGGTAAGCTTTATCCTTGCTTAGTCTTTTCATTCCTTCCTTTCCTCCTCCCCTCAGTGTGTGTGTGTGTGTCTGTCTCTCACTCACATGCATACATATATACACACATGTGGAAAATAATCTCATTCTTGGTAGTCTGTAATTGTAAGTGTTTGGTCATCACTGCAAGTTTAGAGTGAGTCATTTGGCTTAAGTTTGGAGGGTCAGGTGCTGTGAGCCTGGTGGTTGCTTGTTAGCTGTGAGAGGATTCATGCAAAAAAGCTTTTTTTTTTTTTGTCTTTTTTCGTGTCCGGTAATGGATCGCAACCCTCCGTGTTGCGCCCGTACCGGACCGGGACCAGCAACGGGATCGCAACCCTCGGTGCTGCGCCCGCACCTCGCTCAGCCAGTGAGCAGGAACCGGTCTGTATGTGGGATCCGAACCCTCGGCGGGAGCGCCGCTGTGCTCCCAAGCGGCGCACTGTAGCAGTGCACCACCGGGTCGGCCCCCCCCAAAAAGCTTTGTTTTAAGCTTTCTATTGTTTCTCACTTTGTTTCGTTGATTTTTTTTTTTTTTTGGCCCAATGGCTTATAGAATGCAACTTTTACAGTTATGCATTTGCCAGAGTTGTATTCCAACTTCTCCCCTTTGCATTCTGAATTACTTAGGTGAAAAGGGAAATAATAAACTTAGAAATAGCAAACTATTCTGTGTAGACGTATACTGTGGTTATGTGATATTTTATAAATTGCTTTGCTCATTCATCCACAAGTAATGAACATTTTTCCATGTCAGTAAATATTTTTCATCAAGATTTTGAATTTTCAGTTCCTACATAAATTTGCATCCAGTTATTAGGTCAGTATTAATTTAACAAAGCTCTCTTTTGGAAAAATTCAGATTTTTTTTTCCTGCATTCTCCCTAATGTAAATAATTTTGAGATGAACATTCTTGTTCTATTTTTGTTTTATAATCAGTTCTCCATAATTATTTTTCACACAGCTCTTCAGAAGTGGGTAGCATCATATGGACCTGTCAGCTTGTTTTTTTTGCATGTCTTAAAGGAATTAACCTAAACATGAAGATTTGAAATTTGTGTCCTGAGTTTGACTGTACAAAAAGATACATCTGTGGGATTCAATTCAAGTAGTTACAAAATGAGAGTCCGCTTGAAGTTTTTATGATTCTAATAATAAAAATTTATAGTAAGTGAGCTAAATTGATCAGAAATGAGGCTTCCTTATATTCTGACACAATTTTTATTATTTTAATCTCAAGTAAGATTAATTGTTTGAAACATGCTTTCAATAAATGTTAGAGTAGAATGTTGATTTCCTTCTTTCCATGTTCTATGAATTTTACTTCTCTGATTTATGATTCTGCTTGGCACTAGCCAGCAAGGATTAGGTGACTGATTTATGTAAGAAAACAACATTGCATGGAATTGACTTTTAATTTATGAAAGAACCCATTAATACAAGACAGATTAGCTCCTGTCAATAATACATATAGGATATATTTTACTTTATTACAAATTCAAAATCAAAATTCTACCTTGTATGCAGGGTAAGAAATTAGATAAATTACTGCAGAAAGTGTGTTTTTGCTTATTTTAAATTTATAGTAGTTTTATGATTATTCCCTTGGTAGATATAGGATATCAGCTTATATTTTTCCAAAGATTTTAAAATAAATTTTAGAAAAAAGTTGTGTTAACTGATACTGATCCTTTTATAAAGGAACCTCTCCTTTGTTTAAAGTTTTTTTTGCAGAATAACACTTCATTTATTTTACATGACACAAAGACATTCTACATATTATGACATTTGCTTCTTCACCTTGTGAAGAAAGAGAGCAAAAGCAATTTTCATACATTAAACCTAACTGCTCATTTTGGGAAGTGTGTATTTTTTTGTGGGGAGCCTGGATGACTTTTTTGTATGGGTAATAAATGCTAAAATGCCTCAGAGTTATGTATTAAAAGTATGAGAACAACTTAATGTTGGTTAAATGCTTACCCAAACTGCTACTTACTATGTGCACATATTTTCTTATAAGCTGTTTTACCTTAAAACAGCACAGGTAACCTTAATACGCTAAGGTATGTATATCTTTCTTATGTTCACTGGGATGGGACAGGAAAGGGAGCTATTTAATTAGAGCTACTATGAAAAGCTTTAAATAATAAAATCAAAGTCTTACCCAGGCCAAAGATTACTAATCTCTTTTAAAACACATGATTGATTACAAAAGTGGCTGAAGAACTCTGATGGGCCTCTATGTATTTCTGAGACTCTTCACTGCCTTTGGTATCTATGCTCATTATTCAGATGACTTGACTATTATCATACATGTGTCTTAAAATATGATAAAATTGTTTCTATGCATAGAGAAGTAGATGTTTTAGCTTTTTCTAATCTTTATTTTTTACACAACTTTAAAAATTGATTTTTTCTCAATTTTATTTTACTTATTAAATTTTTATATATTCTATATGAGAAATGTTAAGTTTTGTTAGTACTGTGACTACATGAATGCATATTCTGATATAGCTGTGATGTTGGTGGTGAATTGGCAATGAATTCTTCTAATTCTAAATTATTGAGGATGAGTTATCTAGCAGAGTGGCATCTGAAAGTAGATAAGGTACGCTCTTAGGATTTGTGTCTGAATTAGAGAAACTAGTATAAGGGTTTAAAGAAGGGGTTGGCAGGGGCCAGGAGATGAAGTTGAGAATTTCAGAGTGAATGGAACAAGTAAGAAATCTTGCTTCCTCTCATCACTTATCTTTATATCGAGGCAGAACTTGAACAAATTCTGGGAGTCATTGGAAGAATCTTGCTATGGTTATCTTTGTCTTTCCTCCTCTTTCTTCTGCCATTACCCTTCTCTCTCCTCTCTAAGTTGTTTAGAGATACTGGGATCAGCAGGTGCTAAAGTCCTGGAATAGAAACTTAGGGACTTTGCTTTTCTCTTCTCTCTCTCTCTTTGGGGCTGCTGTTCCCCTCTCCTTACATTTCCCCATTATTATAGAAGACTGGGTTATTGTGAAATTTGAGGGGTGACAGGATAAAGATTTTGGGGGGAATATCCTAGTGTCTACGGAATATATAGCATTAATGGAATAGGGAGGAAAATCAAAGAGGAGAAAAGTCATCAGTTGTAGCAAAGAATTATAAGAGAGTGTCTGGGCAGAGCAGCCAAGGACCCTCTTCCAACATAAGTTAGCTGGTAATTGGCTCTTATTGAAAGTATAAGTGTTTGGGAGAATGGAAGGACTTATCTTCTTCATTCACTTGATTAATATCTGTAGTCATTTAAAAATCTCCAAATAATTTTGTGTTCATGTATGTGAAAAATTTCCTTTAATCTAAAAATGAAATTACAAAAATAATTCTTATTTTCCAAAGTACTTTGTTTTACCTTCTTTAAGCCATTAGTTGGCAAAATACTTGAAAAAGAAAAAACACATAAGTACCACATGTTTCTGACTATTTTGAGTGGTTTGTATTCACAAGAAAAACAGTACACAGACTCATTCTATTGCATAAATGTTTTTGCAATTAAAACTGGCACTCTTTACTATGTACTAAGAAATGGTCACTAAATACTACAGCAGTTGGCTCAAAACTCCAATTTCATTTTTTTAACTTGTATTTTGATCTGTGCATTGGTTCTTTCTAAAGTTCACCATTTTTTTTAAAACAACTCTTCCATTAATTTGTGTGGACTTTAATGGGAGTGACCCAAATATTTGATATTCCTTCCATCATTATCCTATGTAGATGGGGGAGCAGAAAAAGACAAAACAAAAACTAGTGTCTAGAATAGCAGTTCTTTTTTTTTTTTTTTTTTTAAGTATTCTTGCTATGGTTATCTTTGTCTTTCCTCCTCTTTCTTCTGCCATTACCCTTCTCTCTCCTCTCTAAGTTGTTTAGAGATACTGGGATCAGCAGGTGCTAAAGTCCTGGAATAGAAACTTAGGGACTTTGCTTTTCTCTTCTCTCTCTCTCTTTGGGGCTGCTGTTCCCCTCTCCTTACATTTCCCCATTATTATAGAAGACTGGGTTATTGTGAAATTTGAGGGGTGACAGGATAAAGATTTTGGGGGGAACATCCTAGTGTCTACGGAATATATAGCATTAATGGAATAGGGAGGAAAATCAAAGAGGAGAAAAGTCATCAGTTGTAGCAAAGAATTATAAGAGAGTGTCTGGGCAGAGCAGCCAAGGACCCTCTTCCAACATAAGTTAGCTGGTAATTGGCTCTTATTGAAAGTATAAGTGTTTGGGAGAATGGAAGGACTTATCTTCTTCATTCACTTGATTAATATCTGTAGTCATTTAAAAATCTCCAAATAATTTTGTGTTCATGTATGTGAAAAATTTCCTTTAATCTAAAAATGAAATTACAAAAATAATTCTTATTTTCCAAAGTACTTTGTTTTACCTTCTTTAAGCCATTAGTTGGCAAAATACTTGAAAAAGAAAAAACACATAAGTACCACATGTTTCTGACTATTTTGAGTGGTTTGTATTCACAAGAAAAACAGTACACAGACTCATTCTATTGCATAAATGTTTTTGCAATTAAAACTGGCACTCTGTACTATGTACTAAGAAATGGTCACTAAATACTACAGCAGTTGGCTCAAAACTCCAATTTCATTTTTTTTAACTTGTATTTTGATCTGTGCATTGGTTCTTTCTAAAGTTCACCATTTTTTTAAAACAACTCTTCCATTAATTTGTGTGGACTTTAATGGGAGTGACCCAAATATTTGATATTCCTTCCATCATTGTCCTTTGTAGATGGGGGAGCAGAAAAAGACAAAACAAAAACTAGTGTCTAGAATAGCAGTTCTTTTTTTTTTTTTTTAAGTATATACTGGTATTCTTCCAAGTATTGTTTTATGCAATTTTTATTATGCCTTAAGAAGAAAATTCAAAACATGCATTTTTTTCAAGAACCATAGACAGAAGAACCTCTCATATTAGTATTCTTCAGAGCTCCTTTTTTATTTACCCAATTAGATATTTTAGTGTGATGGGGAAATACCCTGAAGACTTTTCTTGTTATGTCAAAAAGGCTAAAAACTCTTTATGACTAAATCATTCTTTCCCTTGTTATCCTCATCTCAAGGGATGTAATCCTTGAAGAATTCCGCCTTGTAAATTTGAAACTTGCTTAACGCTAATGAGGAACAAGTCTCAAAACAAACAAAAGCAGGAACTCTCTACCAGTAATCATGTCTAGGATGACTATTTCAACAGCATTAACTTGGCAACATAAAGTACCCTTTTTTTTTTCTTTTATGTGGAAGATTCAATTTTAATAATCTGGCACATCAGATAGAGTATGCTGCCAATTCCTTGGAATAAGTGTAGTTTCAACCTTAAAAATATTGCAGAGATTATTCATCTACACCTTTAAGCAAGGCTATCTGTCACTGAGTGCCTTTTTTTCTCTTGCCACGGTAATTGGAAGGACAACTAATCAGATTAAAGAGAAAATGGTACATTGATTCAAACCAAGTATTTTTGTGAAAGGCTTTTTACATAACTAACTTTTAAACACTAAACGTTTCCTAATTTTACAATTGTGTAAGGATAAACCAAATGTGAGGGAGTAGTATGTTACCATCGAAGGAACACTAGCATTTTAGACAAGTTGCCATTTAGAGGACAACTATCCCTCCTTGGTTTCTGTGTATCTGATACTGTGCATAGGTCCTGGTATACCATGGGTGAGCAAGACAAGCATGTTCCTTGCCCGTATGTAGCTTATGGTAAATGTGTAGCCTTCACCAAGTCACTTAAGTTCAATGATGTGTGTTTCTTATTCTATAAAGAGGCACCTGAAGGTATAGAAGTGAATAAAACAGACATGGAGGTGAGGAATGTGACAATAGGTAACAGTTTTAAGTATGTTGGTCTGAGAAGGCCTCATTGAGGAAGTGACATTTGGAGAGAGGAATGATGTGCATATTTGGGGAAAGAAAATTCAGGTAGAGGAATCAGCAAATACAAAGGCTCTGAGGTGGGAGAGGGCTTTCGTGTTCAAGCCAATAGCAAAGAGGCCAGCATGGCAGAAGAGGCAGAAAGTGGGAGAGTTATAGCAGATGGGGACAGAAAGAGAACTTGGGATCAAACCCTGTAAATTCTTTCTTGGCCATCTATAAGAACATTGGCTTTTATTCAAATTAGAAGGTTTTGAACAAAAGAGTTACCTGGTTATGTTTCAAAATGATCACAGTGGTATATTGAGAATAGACTGAAAAGAAGAGATTATGTGGTTTTCCTTTTTGCTCTCTACTCTATTCTTAAGAAATCTGTTTTCTGCCTAATCATATTTCTCCAAAAAATGATAAGCTATCGCATATTTTCTTTAAGTAACAAATGTTGACCTAAGCCACATAAGCTCATGTTAACTTTAAAAATATCCAGGAGAATTTCAGTAAGTGTATTAAATGATGGATTGGTATGTGGTCAATATTTGCTATTCTCTAGATAATCTCTTTAAATTTATTTGTATTTTTAGCCTTGGGGCTCTATTTTACGGAATTGGAATTTCTTAGCTGTAACACATCCGGGTTACATGGCATTTCTCACTTATGATGAAGTTAAAGCACGACTACAGAAGTACAGCACCAAACCTGGAAGGTAAGACTTTTTAGCAGTAATATTATGTGATATAGCTAAAGATGAAAAATCCTTTGTGGTTCATTCCGAAGTATATCAACAACACCCATTGGGGGTTTCTGGGGGGTGGTGTAGAAAAGCAAATAGACTGAAAGTCTGCTTCTTAATTGAACCCTTTAAATTAACACATTGTGCATGCTCTGAAACTTAGTGTTCATAGAGTAATACTTCATTTTTATTTGATTTGTGTGCGTATGGTATTTGTCCTTTAACAAAGTCTTCTCAAGTACAGGGGCTAATGGTGTTGTGCTTTACTGGGGATCAACCCACAAAGCACTACTTACCTCGTGGTTACATTTGAGAATCTAGGTGAAATATCCATCAAATGACTTTTAGTGCTAAAGAGTGGTCTTGAACCCTAAACTAACCTGTCAGCATGACACTGATTCATTTGATTATGGTAAGCGTGCCATTTAAGAAAGCAAGGTGCTAAACATGAATCAGATATTCACTTCATGAGTTTGGGGATGGGTAGCTACCAGCAAAAAGGTCAGCAGCAAATGATGAGAAGATGTGTAAATGAAATGAAATAGGAAAAAGGTGCATTAAGAAGAAGAATTTGTTCTAAAAAGCCACAATGTGGCTCTCATCACATTGTTAGCATTAGTATCTCTTATCTACATGAGTTGTTTGAACTTCCTCTGTAATAATCAGTTTTAGAAATGCCATCCTAAAACAATGTTTAGGGCAACAGAAAAGGATGTTCCATTAAAAACTGAGCAATTTCACAAGTATACATTTCAGTATTTACCAGATTCTTGGCATGTGAATAAATATGGAATTACTTCTAAAACTACTTACGATGCAGACTTGTAATAATTTTCTTCATTTTAGTATACTCTGTAAGTTCTGCCAAAATCAGTAGTATACAGAGATCTTGAAGATTTTAATATAACATTCAACTCTATTTGAAAGAATTTTATCATATTAATTTCTTAATGTAACAGTTTAATAATGGTCTTCTGAATTATAATTTATAGTGAATGTCTATTTTTTTGATACTTTTTATAACATTACAGCCATAAGTCTGTGTGGAGTTATTTTACCTGATTCTGATAGAGGATGCCAATAATTGACAGGTCTGTATCCTATTTTCAGACTCTAGGGGAATATGTGTTTAGACTTCCTTGAAAAGTCCTTTCCAAAGTTTCCATCAGCATAAAGTTCTTCATATTTAAAAATCACAACTCCTTTTTCTCTTTAAAGACCCAAGTTTTTTTAAAGATGAAATCACATTTCACTGCCAAATATATAAGCTAATGATATCCAATAACTATATAGCCATTATATATGCTAAATTGAATTTTGTAAAATTACTTTTATACTACATTCATCAGTAACTAAAGTGTATTAAAAGATGTTTGTTTATTTCTGCCACATACAAATAGCAGCTAGTGTGGTAAAATATAGCCAACAAATTTACGTTGACTTACTTTTCATCACCTGCTTATTGAGTTACAAAATCAGATGTGGATATCATGATGGCAAGATTGGGTATAATACAATTAAAGAGAAATAATCTAAAATGAGATGAGTAGATAATGAAATATAATGATGATTTTCAAGCCAAGTCAATATCTCCTTTTGTTGGATATTAATTTTAAGGGACTTTTTCTTTCATTTGACTTATATTTTTGAACTGTCTTGGCTTCTCATTGCAAGATATTGAATTTGACATGGGTAGATGGCAGCCATGAACTTATCTAATTTGGTTTCTAATTAATATAGTCCAGTTCTTTTGAGCTTTTATTTAAAGAATGCTTGGAAGAAAAATTATAATATTAAGCAAATTATTTAACAAGTAAAAATGCTTAACTTTAATGTTTAAATTACGAAGTGTTATATAGAATTCTACAGGAGAAACTGGCTCAATTTCTGCCTTAGGTGGACAAATTAAATTTTTAGTTATTTGTTTTGTTTTTACTTACTAAAAATGACTTATGTCGTTACTGTTTCTACCACCAGCACTTCTGTACACAACACCCTTGACAGTGATGGTAATAAATCACTTGATAGTTTGTAACTTCATTTATTTTCTCATATTACTCTGGAGATACTTAAATAAAAGGAATTATTATCAGTGTTTGTTATAAATCAATTAATGGAGAAATATAGTAATGTTAAAAATAAAAGATAGAATTTTATATCTGGAATGCTAAGTGATTCTGTTTATTCTATGGTTAAAAAAAAAAAAAAAAAAAACCCTAACAAATCATTTAGTAGTTGGCTTACCTTTTGAATGTGATTAAGCATAATTTTCTCATGTTTTCCAGCTACATTTTCCGGTTAAGCTGCACTCGATTGGGACAGTGGGCCATTGGCTATGTGACTGGGGATGGCAACATCTTACAGACCATCCCTCACAATAAACCCTTATTTCAAGCCCTGATTGATGGCAGTAGGGAAGGATTGTAAGTATGAGAATCTGTAGTCAGGATGCTTATGATTCACAGATTTGAAAAATAGAGACTGCTTTGCAAGGGAGAGAGTGGATAATAAGGTTGATGATCTGGCTGTT